AGGGTTCGGCTGGGGAAAAAAAATCGCCGGTCGTGAGTCTCAAGGGGTTTATCACTAAGACGAACTGATTGGTGGTAAACTGCAAGTCGTAAAGTAACTCCAACTCTTGACTCTGCCCTAATCACTTCGCGCCTGATGATGGAGGCAGTATGTGCCTCCGAAACGTGGGCAATATTGCCAATATCCGTATGGTACAAAGACCCCTATCAGCAGCGACTGCCGAGGGCCAACATTCGAGCGATCACACGCAGGCTCCCTTACACCAGACGACATTGTTGCACCTGCCTGGAGTCGTATCGCAGTGGTCGAACCGTTATGTCAATTTTGAGTGTATTTAGGAACAATGGTTGGGACCCTCGTCCGTCCGTCCGTCCGTCCGTACACGATAATTCCACTGGCGTAAAGATTATTTTGTACACATCTTAACACCAGAACTGTTCCAGCGTGATAAGGGTCTTCACGCCACTGAACTCAGTATTTGGCATACGCGCCCTGCCCATGTCTCTCATACCTGCGGATGACTCAGATGACGGTTACTGAGCTGCCTAATCACAAATCCTGTTATAGATTCCTCGGTTAGCAACGAATATACCTATAGCACATTTCGTGCCATAAATGCATAACAGTGTCTCTTACAAAACATTTGTTCTGAACTGCCGATCCTTTGTCATACGTCTAACTAACTAAATAAATAACTCATTTGGCACATCCCCCGTTGACTAGCTAATATTCGGTCAGTTTTTTTAATGCTAGTGGGGTGGGACTAAGTCCCTTGTACTGCGGCCACTTCTGGCCTATTGTACCAGCCCTAGATGATAGGTGAGGGTGATTGTGGAGCAATTGGTGGAATGAAGATTGGCAGGGGAAACCGAAGTATTCGGCGAAAACCCTCCCCAGCGCCACTTTGTCCACTATAAATCCCACTTGACCAGACCCGGGATCGAACCCAGGCCGTTGCGGTGGGAACCCAGCGACTAACCGCTTGAGCTATGGCGCGGCCTCACTCCGAAGGTTACCGGGAGTTCTTGCCGTGGAGGTAAAGCTGCCGGGGTTACGATCTTCCCATTTAACTAGTTGGTTTAAGTGAACACTGTATTCGGGGAGGTTACATAGTTCAAATGTCTGTTGAATCACGGACTATCATTATTGAGGATTTTCGTGCTATTCCTCAGCCCTTTCAGGAAGTCGTCAGGATGGTAGCACAAATTAGGCGACGCCCGTTTCCTTTCACATTCCTTCCAATTCATTATCATCAGTAATTCGACGACATACAGTCTGAGTTACTGATGGCGCCGTCAAATAAAATATAAGAGAAACAAGCAGGAGCATTACAGGGCCTTGACGGTGTCGGGGTTGGATACAGAGGCAGATCTGCTTGTAATGCAGAATGTAACAGGACCTTGCCCTGCTCGCGTATTCCTGTCACGACTGAATAATCCTGTAACTCACACAAGCGTGTAGACGGAAGTCCCTGTCAGTCACGTGATATATGGACTTCCTTTGCGCGGCATGCATGGCCACGCTTTCCAAACGCGACCCACTGAGCAGGCTACTGTAGCGGTATTGCTCCAGAAACGTATTCAGGAAGTACTCGGTTGTAATCTCAGTCAGAGCACAGACCATCCTGGCAGCGGTTTTGCGTGGTTTTGCTCAGACCTGCACGAGAATGTCGGGTTAGTGCCTTAGTTTAGGTCATGATCATTTCCTTCCTGATCCTTTCCAACACCACCAGCCTAGGTACAAACAGCGTCGTAACGGTCGGAAACAAACATGTCTCCACAACAACGAATGAAGATGTAACGACAGAAGAACGGCTGGAGCCGGTGTTTTCTATGGAGGTCCGTGCAAAGGAGTTATACGAGGGACGAAGTGAAGACTGAGTTAAGTAGCCCGTGTGGAGGCGGTTTCGAATATCTACACCGTAGATCTGCGAGCAGTAGGAGGCGACGAAAAGGGAACCTAGTGCCTGGGGGTATAACTGGGCCACCGTGTTCCCGGGGGATATAAATACGGGGACCTGGCGCTAAAGGTTGGGGAAATCTCCAATCGGAGACAGTACTCTTGAAAAAATGGTCATGAGTCCCGCGGGACTCGTACCCGAGAATGACTGCGCTGCCGAGGACCAGCAACAATTTTAAACGATAGAACCATCCTATCGTCAGAGGGTGTGAAATTTGGTCTCTGACATTAAGGGAGGAACATAGACTGAGGGTGTTTCAGAACAGGGTGTTGAGGAGAATATTTGGACCTGTATTCCATCCAGTAGTTTCGGATATAGAAGAGAGGGACGGACGGAAACGACTGCCCCTAATACTCAATACCGTGCAAGCCACGGGCCCATTATATCGGCTCGAGGTACCTACGTTAACATTGCCATAGCTGAAGCGATCGGCTCAATGTCATTCAATTAGTACAGCATCTCTGTCAACAGATGGCATCAAGGGTTAACAATACTGTAAAAGCGAGGAATATTGATAAGATACATCGCTTTGTTTCCGAGCCTTCTCTGCTGGGGGCGCGTAAGGCTGACAAACTCAACGCCATCTTTTGGAGTCGAACGTCTAGAAAACGTGGGAACCTCGCCGTCTCACAAACCTATCGGCCTCCACGGCCTCTTAGAGCGATAGCTTTACCTTTACTTTCATTATAGCTTAAACATAATCAGCCCGAAACAATGCTGGCGAGAAAAATACTTCCCTGTGCTTTCTGTAGCGTTCATAAATAAAACTTGCAATAACATGTGCTTACAATCTCTGCCTCGTTTGCCTGTCTGTCCTCATGTAACAACTTGACGACGACTCAGAGAACTATTACGATATTTTACCCTGGAGAATTTCACTAGAAATCTGTTGATACATTCATTCCCGTTCATGTTAAAATCGGACAAAAATATCGGATGGTTCACATGGAAACGCACAAGCGTTTCTGCGCATCACTCGTTAAATATTTGTCGTTGAGAAAAATTTTCCGAACGCAAGTTGGGGATAACAAAAATGGGGAAGAAGAAGCTGCCCACTATTTTTTTACTCGCAAATCTTGTGGCTTTCGTGATAACGAAAAAAAAAAAGCAACCAAACTGTTTAAATTACAATGGACATGTATAGACAAAAGATCGTATTTATGACGATAAATCAAAACGTAAAGTTGTATTTTTAAACTGTCCCTTCTTATTTTTTAGTGGCTTAAGGGATGCCCTTTCCTGTGAAGCCGCACACAGCAGACGCTAAGGAGCTTAGAACTCACTGGGGCGTCAAATCGAAAACTTGATTGAATTTCTCTTTATCCGACGGGTAGAAATGGAGACCAGGCTAGCTTTACATTGTCGACATGGTTTCTAGGTCAGGCTGGGTTGGGCAGCATGGACCGCGACCGCCCCACAACACAAATCCCTATTCTAGAACTGTTTAGGTTCACTTAACCACTTCCATACCACGCACGACATATCTCGTTATTTAGATCCGAGGTTCAAGCGAAGTTTGAGATGATTAATGTATGTGCCCATCTCTCAGAAGTCAGCAAAATATTTTAGTTCTGCAACAATGCAAAGTGCACGTTGCTATGGAAAAGGCAAGCACTGCGGTCAGCCTGGTTCATCCCTCAGTTGATTGCCAATTATTAAATAACCAATTTCGTGGAGCTGAGTTCTCAGTCACTCAGCTTGTCAAGACATTCCCAACAGTTTTCTGGAACATGGAACTACAATACTGTATCCACTCCCCAAGACCTATTTCCCTTAAATCGATTTTAATATTGTAGCGTGTTGCCTATGTAACGCGACAAATTCACGCAGGTCCCGGATATAGCGAATAAGTTTATTGGTCAATCTCTTCTACACTTACAAGTACAATTATTCACAATTTCAGTATCAAAATTACTGCCTCTGCTATAGTCGAAGCCAACTGACGACTGACTACTCTTCTACGGTCAAATACAAACTGAACTGTTCTCGACAACTTCCAGAACTCAAAGTCAAAGTCAAAGTTACGTTGCGATTGACGGTCAGTCAGTCAGTAAGTCTTGGTGTCGAGCCCCAGGCAGATATTAATTATTACTGTTTGACAGTTACGGTCTTATTTTTGTGGGGCGCCCTCTCTGACGAGAGGACGGGTCTATCTTTTGCATATGCTGCTGGCCCTTAGTCTTTCTCGGTTCCGAGTCCCTTGGGACTCGCGACCATATTTAACTGTCTCAGATTTGAGACTTCCCGTTTCGTCGCCTCCTACGACTCGCAGGGTCACGGTGAAGATATTCGAACCCGCCTCCACACGGGAGTAAACTTCCTGTCAAGTCAAAGTCAAAGTCACATTGCGACTGACGGTCAGTCAGTCTGTCTGTCTTGGTGTCGAGCCCCAGCTGGGACTCATGATCATCGCTCCAGAACTCAACTGTCTGTCCGGTCCATTCAATCCCTTTAAGCGGACCGCTTATGGAACACCTTTCTCAACAGTTTACTTTACCCGTTGTCATACAACGCTTAGAACAATTCGTTGTAACCATGGAAACTCGCTGTTAGAATTCCAATGCTGCATTCCATTCCACTGTCTAGGAAATGTCATCCGCTGACTAGCAACGAAGGCTGAAATATGCTCCATTCTCACGTCACAATATTACATTACCATCTACGTCTAGGTCCTCCTATTAGACTTCGGATTATACTGATGACAAATTCATTTTCGTAACGAAGAGTATTATCTACTGTGACATCACGCCGTGTAGTCCGTTGAATATCAACCGACGTTTCGGAAGAACATATCGCCTCCGTCTTCATGGTAGAAGAATAAGAGAAGGGTGAAAGCAGAGCGTTATACCGTAACCACAGTTGTGAGAATCTCAGAGCCTAATTTTCGCAAGAAATTTCCGAGAAAGTTGCCCCTTTCGTAGGTTAAGCAGTATGCCCATGTTTACCGCTGTGGCGGCCTTCCCCTCCGAAAATGGAGGCTGCAAATGAAGAAAAGGAATCAACAGGAAAGCCCGGAGGAGCTATGACGTCAGGGACTCACCACATTGACGAAATCCTGGAAGGTAATAGCGGTAGTGCTGCGCTCTTGTGCCCGTTCCAGCAAGATGTCTCGCTTGTTGGCGTCCACCTCAGCAATGAACTCAGGATTGTTCAGGACCTCCAGGAAGTCGTCCCACGGGATCTCGCCGAACCCTTCCGGGTCATACTGCAAAGTAAAACAAAGTTCTGGGGATGAAGCTGATATTACCCGGACGGAAGGAGAGAATCACAACCCTTCACATATCACCCAATGCACGTACAGTCCGAACGCAGCCCCTTGCACCTTCAGTTTTGTTGATCAGTCAAAAGGATTACGTAGTTCCTGTTCTGTGATCTGCTAACAAACATGCAACATTCAACCGAGTAATATCTGTACTGTACTCATAAACCAGGTAATTCATTTTGCTGAAGTAAAGGTGAAGTTGGCCGATCATGGTGGCCGATCACACCGTCTGAACTCTCTTCGCCCGCTCTAACGCTGGAGTCATGGGTTCGAATTCCACTCGAGACATGGATGTCTGTCTGCATTTATTCTGTGTTTGTGCTGTCCCATGAGTAGGTAAGGCCTTGTGACGCGCTGATCCCCGTCCGAGGGGTCCTACCGACTAGGTACGCGTATAGGATTACGAAACTGAAAAAGCAGCCAGGGCCAAACACAGGGCCCTGGAGCCACTGATGAATGGTAAAGTTGTCCCTGTGCTCAATTAAGTACCTAACCATGAAGACGTATGAGAAAGTGAAGGTCAGCTTCACGCCCCGCCTGCTTTATTCCCGGGAAACGAACCCTTTAGCATCCATTGGATTGGGGAGCAGATGAACCGCAGCGCCAGTCTGACCGCTGTGGAGACGAGAAGAACCATTTAATTAGGCTTTCACGGTGGTTAATTGATGCTGAATCGGTTCTTTGGTTGTACACCGTGTGGTTGTGGACGATGCTGCCGACGTTTCGGAGGCCCATGTTGCCCTCAATCTTCAGGGTATAAGTGGAGGCAGCATGTTCCTCCGAAACGTCGGTGATATCGCCCACAACCACACGGTGTAACAACACAACAATCGATTCAGCATTAGGAGAAAACTACTCAAGTTACATCTATGCAACCCATTAACGCTCGAGGATCCGTCGCTATGGCAACAAGAAATTGTGCAATGAAAACATATCTCACGCTTACGAAACGTCTTCATATATATCAGGATTTTTTGTCTTCATACCGAGCGGATTGTCCTAGCGGTAACGCCCCAGTGTCGTATTCGGGAGGTGCTCGGTTTTAAACCCCGTTCGGTACGCCAACTATGTGTTTCTGGTGGTTTTCCTCAGGCTCTGAAGATATACCCCATTTTATAATGAACTAGTGTGAAAGATCCTTTCGGGAAGGCGTTAACTCGTAAGGCCGATGTACAAATCACCGTCAAGTTTTCTAAGTAGGCAGTAATGTTTCGGACTACCTTCCTCCCTCTGTTTTAAGGGTCAAACAATAAAGGCGTATCAAAAGATGCCAGCAGCAGGCTCCTCTGAAAACTTGGTAAGAATCTACCAGATTACATGGCGTCACATCTCAGGCCACAATAAGATCCAAAATGGAAGTACGTTTGTTTCTGAGCCTTAACATCTCGCCTTGAAGACGTATGAACGGAATGGAGGTAACTCATCTCATATTCTGAATGTTGGTACTTATAGGAGCTGAATATTTAGCTTCACGCTCCGACCATTTTATCTCCTCTGATATGCGTCTATGGGCCCTGAAGCCGATCTGGGCAAAGCAGCCGCGACGTTATGGGTCAAAGGGCGAGCATGTTGGAGCAGGAACTTCAAGGTAGGCCTTGCCCTCTCTTCCGGTGTGTGACGCCGTGTAGTAAGGAAAATGATTATCAATGTCTGAAGAGTGACCGCTCCTTCTACCTTGAAGACGGAGGAAGCTTGTCTGTCACCGCTTGCACCGAAAAGAGAAGGGGACAAGCAAGGTGACTCCCCTTCCCAGATTTTTGTAAAAAGAAAATGGGAACTGAAAAAACAAGGAAATATACGACATATTATTAAGAAAAATATAAAGTATTTTTATTTCTTGAATACTCTAAGGCGATCAATAAGACTATTTTTAAACCGCATTAACGTAGATTCGTAATTCTTTTGTTACCTCCGCCCACCACCGCCGAGGGGGCGGATCCCGTGTCAGTCACCGCGGTTACCGCCGCCGGGAATGTCACATCTCAACTTTACGTCAAAAGTTTATACGATCGAAAGATCTCGCAAACGTTTTTAAGAGTTTCAGGATTTGCCTGCCATCTGTTCGTAGCTTCTAAAACTACACGGACATGGTCTTAAAACTGCACTCTCGCGTCCCCTAGCGGTCGACTGACTGAAACTCTTTAACATGCCATGCTGTCATGGCGGTTAGGAGTTGGGAGACGAGGGAGAAGAAATCGGTACCCGTCGTGATGAAGGAACGACAGGGGTGCTCACCCCCTGTAGTTTAACAGGATCGGAAGGGAATTGAATAAAAGAGAACGGAATGCGTTTCTTCAACCTTAAAAAACAAATGAAATGAGATATATTCAAGCACAGGGCTTGAAAGAAACGAAGCAGAATTCAATGGGGAATAATAATTAAAGAGAGGAGTGTCCAAACCGAGGGCAGTGACTGGCAGACTAGAGTATAATAGTTCACTTTTGCTTTAACCGCCTCTTCAGGGGCGTCCCACAGGTTACAAACACACGGCATTAAAAATAAGGATATTGAAACCGACGGTTTATTATCAGCGTTACCAATAGAGCAAATCTTAAAGTCGTACGGTCCGCACCTCATCCAGTTCCTTACTATACCATTTTAATATTATCCTCAAGTATATTTACCCTTCGTGACTCCATACAAGAAAATTTTCAGTCCTCCTCCCAGACATGCTACATGTTCCGCCAATATCAACTTTACAACAAAATAATTTAAATGCATTTGGTTCCCCATAATTATCACTACTCGTCATTATTATTAGTGATAATATCAATTAATTAAAATTAATTTAGATTAAGTTGGCCACGATGTATAAATTCCTCAGTGGCTACATCTGTAATGAATACAGACAACTAACTAAGTAACTGACTTCACGGATCTGAGCCCTTCTTGCGAAGCTGACAGTTGTGCAGCTACTCAAGAACTTCACGACATTTAATGGAACCTGAAAGTTCATTACCGTGTTCACAAGAGCTTCAACTGGTCCTTATTCTGAGCCAGATCAATCCAGTCCATACCACCCCAGCATATTTATCTAAGATCCATTTTAATATTAACCGCCCACCTACATCTTTGTCTTTCTAGTGAACTCTTTCCTTCTAATTTCCCCACCAATATCCCATATGCATTACTCGTGTCTCCATACGTCCTCCATGCCCTGCCCATCTAATCCTCTTTGAGATTGGCCGGGCATGTAGTACGTACGGAGATAAACGTTATTTAATTCGGTTATGTAATTCACCGGTTGCTTTGTATGGGTATGAAACTTGGTCTCTCAAATTAAGGGAACAACACAGACTGAGGGTGTTTGAGAACAGGGTATTGAGGGGAATGTGTGGAATTAAGGGGGCGGAAGTGATAAGACGAAGGGTAGAAACGCAAAATGAACTACTTCACAGCTTGTTAGGATGGTGAAGTCAAGGGGGATGTGAAAAAAGTAGACATAAAATGGCGTATTCTGGCACACAGCCTTCTATTTCGTAAACTGGCAGATGTCGCAGTAAGTAACTGTCCAATGAAGCCGCGTTTTCATATGCTTATTACTGAAGAAACTGCGAAATAATGAAATGTGACGGTCACTCTCAGAACTAACATTTCTTACGGATATCAGATTCTATATGCCAGAGATGAAACAAACCTTTTGTCTTCTTACGGAGCCTTTGTCTCTCTTCTGAGAGGAGTTATATTATTTATGTAATCATATGTTACGCAGAGCATCCATTTTGTCTTGCGACCTGAAAATATTGCAGGAACAAAAGAGGATCGTGGTTACCATGACGACTTATCTCTCTGGAAATTTTTGCTTCTACACATGTGAACGCCAACAATTTGCAGAAAACGTGTGAACATTTTCCTGTGCAACTCAAGCATTATGAACTAATTCGGCGATATCCTCACGATTTCAGAGCCCATAAGCCCCAGGACTGTACAATGCATTTCAATATCAGAAATACTGTCTCATGGAATGTAACAACATTTCGGGGGTACTTCCTGCTTCAATGTTCTACCACGAAGATGGAAGCATCAGGATAATCCGAAATATAGTAATCTTCCTGCCAGAGTACACGGCATCACATCTAAAATCAGGACACAAAATGGAGGTACGAGGTTCTCATTGGTAACGTTCTACGAGACTACACGGCGTCGCATCCCAGAAGACAGGAACTGTCACATACACGGTGTGTCCTGGATCCTTTAGGACTCATTTTTTTTTATTTGCCCTGCAATGCCATCTGTTGGCGAGTTGTTAAAATTCTTGAAGTTTCAGCTGTGACTGTCTATAATTTCAAAGCGTAAGCATCGCTGCATCACATGTTCTGCCCTTGAATGTAACAGTACTGTTCTGACGCTCATCGGAAAATGGCGGTTGAACAGAGAGCCAACATAAAATTTTGTTTGAAGTGAGGCAAAACAGCCGGAGAAGAGCGCGAAATGATGAAAAATGTGTATGTTAGTGATTGTTTGAGTCGCACCGAGAGGATTGTAAGGGATTCTGTGATGAGGAGAACTAGTTGGTGCAGTCAGCACAAAGCTGAAGAATCTCCGCTGTTAGAAGCCACTGCCACGCAACGGCTAATGAAAACAGCAGGTTGGAAAAGGCTTAGCGGGCACTGTGGTGATTTCTGAAGTGTTGAGATAGCGGTGGCGCAGTAATTGTTTGTAGTTCTGAGTCGTGTGTATAAGTGGTCAATAAATCGAGTCACCAATCCGAACCCCTTCTATAGTTACGTACTAAGCGTGACAATATCAATCGGCTACGATATGTGCTACACGCTCAGCCCATTTAACGGAGAGCAGGAACGCGAGCTTATTTTGTTGGAAGGAATTTCTCCAGGATTCTTCCGGAATAATTTCTTCTTTGCGAACTTATTCTTCTACCTTATAGATGGAAGAAGAAAATTAATCCGAAACGTCGGTAACTTACTACCAGGCAACACGGCATC